CGGGTGTTGTATTTATACGATAAATACTTACTTTAAAAATTTTAAATTCCGCTGCGTACAGCCCGTACGGTACTAGCGAACCCAACAGACTGCACGAAGTCGACTTCTACGAGTCGACTTGTAGAGGATCTGTCATTTTTCGCAGTCATTCTTATGAAGAGTCGACTTTGCGGAAGTCGACTTGAGTACGTATGTCGATGTGTGAACGGTCTGAACAACTATCTGGTCGAGTAGAGAGCACTTGGGCCGGTATATCTCGATATGGCTATATCATTGTCTTTGTATATATTCTCATTTAAGTTGAGCTATTTAGGGTTTTAATAATTATTTTTGGGATCTTGATTGCAATTCTTGCTTGTTGATTGTGTATGAAGTAGTAATTGTGTGTGTATGTGTATTTAATCTCTTATCCTATACTGTGGTTGTTGTATATCATAGTTGGATATAAATTTATGATGTGTAGGCATTTCATTTTGCTAATACTATGTCATATGAAAAATCTATTTATTTGCATTGTGGAATTTTAAAAATTAACGTGGAGCACCAATCTTCGGTCAAGAAAAGAAAAACCACGTTGATATCATCATTATTTAGAAAATGGGATCGACGTCAAACTAGTGAAATCACATCAAATACGGTGCAAAATGATCATATTGAATTTTTTTTTGTAGAAACTCGTCGACCACAACTTCAGTGAATATTTGAAGGGTTAATTGCCAAAAAAACCACAAATTTTTGTTAAATTGCAAATAAAACTCAACTTTTTCAATTTTGCAATAAAATCCAAACCTTTATTAAACATTGCAATTTTGTCTCAAAATTGAATTTCGGCTAAGGCAGGCTGACGTGTCCGCTCGGAAAAGTGACATGGCACTCAAAATTTAATAGTCAGTGCCACGTGTGTCTGAACCTCCACATCACACCCCCACGTCAGCTATTCTTCCCCATTTTCCCAACGCATNCAAACCAAAACAAAAAGGTCTTTATTCATGCTGGACAACAAAAAGAACCGATGCAACAAAAAAAGAACAGCACACGGAGAAGAAATGGAGAAGAAATTCCTGGCGGTTAAAAACAAAGAAATCTAACCCTACATCTAACATCGATGCTGGAGCTTTTTCTCACGGTGGCTTTCTCGGCGGCGCCGCTCACCCTCTACTTCCCGCCGATCCGAACCCTGAATCCGTTCATCCGCACAACGAATCATCTTCTCCGGGACGCAATCTCCTACGCTGCCGATATCTACCCGCGCCTACGCCTGGACGTCTCGCGGCTCGTCTCCCCCAGTCGCGCCGCTGTCTCCAAAAGGTAGATTTTTCAATTCTCGGTAAATCGGACGGTCGTTTTGTGACCGATATCTGTATTATTTCACTACTTCTGTTGTCAACGCGAGAGCCTCCGGTAAATCGGACGGTCGTTCGCGTGCGAGCCACCGGCTACCCGGATCTGTTTGATTTTCCCGACGGCCAGCCACGACAAGGTTCGACCACCCGCTGAGTCGAACCTTTGAATCGCCGCCAAATCCCGACGGTTCTCGTCAAGTCAATTCGTCACCGCACCACGCGCAAGCCGAGCCTAGCGGCTGCCGCACGTCGCCGATTCGCTGAGCCGCCGCCTGGTTCTGCTCTCCTCCAAGGTTTTCCAGTTCAGGCCGCCACCTCTGGCAGCCGATGACGGTTGTCGGGAGCTCTGAGCGAGGAAAGAAAACTTGTACCATTCACTCTGGATAGGAACCAATTGGTTCTTTCAAGGTCATCTGTTCGAACTATTGCTGGTACTTCATGGATGGGGACGGAGTAATACTCCCCCACTGGTAAAATCGGAACGCTATCCTCATGATGCTGCGGAGATGGAGTGGAGAAAAGGAATGGAATTCGAGAATCTGAGAAAGAAAAAAGAAGAATTTGGGAAGAGGAGAGAATTGGGGATCTGGAGAAGAAGAAAGAAAGTGACGGGAAAAGGAAAGAAAAGAAGGGAAAAGAAAAAGAAAAAATAAAAGAAAAAAGTGATTTGGTTCCACATCATTTTTCCGACTGCCATGTCAGCACCCCTTCGCCGGAATTTAGTTTTGAGACAATTATGCAATACTTAATAAAAGTTTGTATTTTTTTTGCAAAATTTAAAAGATTGAGCTTTATTTGCAATTTAACAAAAAGTTGTGGTTTTTTTGGCAATTAACCCATATTTGAAAAAAAATTAAATATTATGTGACTTTTGTGAAAATAATTTTTTAAAATTCTAGCCCAGTCTAATCTTAATTTTTGGATCTGTTCCTGTTGACAACTAATTACAATAATGGATCCAAATTAATTGATTTAACTTTTTGAGAAAAAATTAATTAATTATTTTACTTCTACATAATATATTTTGTTTTTATGAGTAAAGAAATATAAAGAGAAGTATTTTTGTGAGTATTATCTATTGATAATATCTTAAGAGGTTAGATTTCAATGTTACTTAATTCTAAACGTGGAATCTTAAATAACAATTATTTTACAACTGGTGAAACAAATATATAAATAATATATTAAACTATTATATATCACTAAAATCAAAGAAAAGATAACAATTAATATTAATATTAAAAACTATATTTATACTAATATGTTTCAATACATATGATTTATCACTGTTGTTCCATAAATCGCACGAATTACGTACTAGTAATTAGATAAAATATTTGCAATTTAGTTATTTTGTGGTAGTTTTTTTTTTACAATATATATAGAAAATGGGTTTTAAAATTTAAATATTTTTTACAAAAAATATATATTATTATATATTGTAGAATGACACTTGCTACTTGTGCAACTTACCTGTGTTATCTCATAATATCTTTACTAACTTGTACCATATAACTAATTTAAACATAAATACCTTAATCCATAAATTATTTTTCTAATTACTATTAATAAGTAATTTTATTATTATTATAAAGGTAAATATAATTCATTTATTTTATACATACACTATGAATGACAAATCGAAGTTTATCAAAAGATGATTAATTTGATATATTATACCTGTAAAATCGATAAGAAATACAAAAGATATCAACTTTGAAAATACATTTACAATTCAATTCTTATAATAGGAAATTATATGAAAATTCAATATTTAAAAGTGATCATAAATAATCAACGTATATATGAATAACCTGAACTTAATTATTTTTGGATTGTAAGTAAATTAAATTCATCCAAGCCAAATAATGATGCTTGAATTTTTGTCACGTAGGATCCCAGCGTATGTGAGTCTGCCATATAGACTCAACACATTCGGAAATTATATATAAAAGGGATTTGCTTAACACATTTGATAAGATATTCTCACTTCATATCACTTTAGTTATTTTCGTTGAGAACTTTTACCGATAATAATTTATAGGATAAAATTTGGACTTTTTTCTTTTTATTTATTAACATTTTGTTTTTGCCAACATTCTCAAGCTTAATGGCCCAACATTTGAAGCCCAACTTGTCAAAATTTGATCCCAGGCTGATTACGACGAAACAGAAGCCCAATATTACAAGAATCCATTTTGTCAAACAAATAATTTGGAGAAAATTACTCCTCACACGATATATCTTAACTTTTATTGCATTCCTACTAGACACTCATTTTTATTTGTAAAATTACTAAACCTAATTTATGGGATCTGTTACCTAATTCCATGGGATTTAATATCCCCAACACTCTTTATCTCTCTATCTGTCTCTACCGCTCTCGTTTCTTCTTCTTCTACTCTTCTTTCATTTATTTAATTTTTCTCTTCCCCTTTAATTCTCCCTCTCTCGTTTCCTCTTCTTCTTCTTCATTTAATTTTTTTCTCTTCTCGTTTAATTGATTTTTTTATCTATTTTTTCGATCGGTCCCGATTTACTGGACTCGACGGTCCGCCGAGGCCGATATTGATGTCACGACGACTTCACACCCTAGCACCGGCCGCAACCCTAGCCCCGAGCTCAATCGTGCTAATACCGTTTCAATCCATGGAGATAACACGGTGAATATATTCGATGGCGATTAAACATAAAAAAATCCAACCTTTTCGCGGATAGAGAGAGAGAGGAGACTCGAGAGCGAGAGGTAGCCTATGGGAGAAAGGGAAAAAAGATGCATAGAATTGGGAAAAAGGTGGAAAAAGAGAAGTTTCAATTTTGTCTGAAGAAGAAACACAGAGCAGAGCTGCTTCACTGCGCCTATATCTTCCGATCGTTCGAAGGATCTGTTTTCTGTAATTCGTGCAATTTTGAATGTATAAATTCGTTTTCTTTTAAGGTTTTGTGATTGTATATTTAAAATTTTACCCCATTTTTTTTTCTCGAATTTTCGGCGTTGTTGTGTCTGCCCGTGTGAATTAAGTGTCTATTCTCTGTAATTATTTGTGTTCCCCGGAATATTGGGCGGCGAATGTGTTCATAACTATCGGTATTAAGGTTTGCGCATTATAGTTCGTGGTGAATTACTGGGATCTCTATATATAGATTATAGTATACAGTATTTTTTTTTTGTATATGTTCTGAATATCTTCAGTATATATTTTTTATATATAATGACAAGATTTTCTTTTGTATATGTTCTGAATATCTTCAGTATATATTTTATATATATAATGACAAGATTAATTTATCTTCGTTATCGTCTATATATAATGAGTATATCTTCTGTGTATATAAGTCTGATCGTGTATTTTATTTATTAAACCAAAAAATATACTATAAATATACAGACAAAACACGAGAGATAAATAACACAATAAGTAAACAAAAAATGAAGAAAAAATTACAAGGTTTATTTCGTATATTTTTTGTACTTATATGTTTTTTTATATATCTTCTGTATATATCCTATATATATTATGTATAAGTGTATATATTTTGTATATATTATGTATAAAGGACTATGCAGAATATTTTTTATATTTTTTATTGCGTATATTTTTTATTGAGAAAGTGAGGACGTTTGAATTTCAAAAACTAATCCTTTCCATTTGATATGAACGAATTCCTAAATAGTAGGTAATATACAGTTCCCTTTTTTTCAGTTTAATAATAAAGATGCCTGTAGGGAAGGTCTCTTATCTGGTAACTGACATTTTTTATTCATCTCAAATAAATGCATTTGAATTGGTATAAATGCAAATAAAATCTCTCATATTGTAGAAATGCAATATCTTTAGTATCATGTGGTTAATACAAAATTTTGCCAATAATTTGAATCAGAAATTGTAGGTCCAAAAACATCAATGTTCAATTTGGAAATTTGCAAAGTTATCAAACTAGCAAGAAATTGATTACCATGGCTATGTAAAAGAGAAAGGTTCGGATATGTGCACTGCAGTGTAATTATCGAGTTTTTTTTTTTATCACACGAGTGCGTGTTAACAAATCTAATGGAGAAAAAGTAATTGCAATATTGCACAAATAGAAATTTTTTGTAAAACATGTCTTTCTTTTGTGTGTTTTTCTCGCATTTTTCTAGCATTTCAAATTATGTTTACATTACACAAATCGAAAATTCAGTCATTTCTCTAGAACTTATTTCAACAAATTTACAGCTACAATGAGTGATTGATTAGTTAAAAAAATCATTTCAATTANAATCAGAACTTGGGTAGCTGAGCTGACTCAATTTTCTAGCTCTATTCTTCAACACAAATTCAAATTTCAAATTTAGGATTAGGTTTTATTTGACTTTTTCGGATAAAGTTAATTTTAGGAAATAATAATAATATTTCAGAAAGCTGTTCAGCAACCGTTGATTTATTCACATAAATGCTGGAAAACTGAAAAGCAGAATCCAAGCAGAAAATGTTACAAAACAACAAACAATAATACCAATGATTAGTGTATTTTATATATACAGCCAAACATATAGGACATGCGTAGTTAACTAAATTATTGACTAAATTTATTTGTTTGCCATGTATATTCCAACTTCCAAATATTATTGTTTCTTAAATTACTAATATTGCATTAGAAATTTAACTTGCATTTGACATTTGCGTGTATATTTATTAATTTTTGTTCAACAAACACTAAAGTCCTTAATTTTTGCGTGACACATGTTGGATTGTTATGCTACATTGCTACCAAAATGTACTATCAAGTTGACCTCGTAAACATTACAACAATTAGAGCTATCAAACAAACCGAATCATTCGTAATTCGTTAGCCGGTTCAACTTATTAAAGCTAATTAAGTTTATTGATTACTTAAGATTCAAATTTAGCTCGACTCGTTGAGGTTCGAAAAATAAATTTTTTAAGTAATTTTCTGAAGTATTATTATAGATTGATTTGTTATTTTTTATAAAATGAATCGATCTCATATTTATTGTTTATAAAATTAATTAGCTCAAACTCTAATATCAAGATTTTGAGACCAGAGCGCAACTCATTTACATACTATAAAATAGTCATAGAAATTTACTTTAAATAGAAAGTAAAAACTCGCCTAAAAATTTAGATTTTACTAGAATTAGTAACTTTTTTTAAATTATTTGAAAAATTGGCGGTTAATTTGTTATTTAAATTTTAAATTCATGCAAACATTTAAAGAAAGATATCATAAGCAGATTTTTTTTATACATTTCATTTTATCTTAACTTACATATAATCACATTACTAACAAATATTAAATTTGTTTATATATTTTTAAATTAATTACATCAATAAATAATATTAACATACATTAAATAATTATCATTATATAAAAAAAAATATTACTTCTATAAGTGTTATAAATAATAATGACAGTATACAACAATAAAATTTTAAAAAATATTTGAGTATTATGATGAACCAAATATGTAAAATTATTTTTTTTTTTGGTATTAAAATATATATATATATATGTATATTAAAATATTATTTATATTAATATAAACGAGTCAACGAACTAATATATTGTTAAAATAAAGTCTTGAAAAAATGTTTTAAGGTACTAAACTCCCGTGCATCGCACAAAATTCTTATTAATTATAATTAATATAATTAAGCTCGTTAAAACTTGATTTATTTGCACCCTATATAATTTTTATTTGTTACACCAAGTTATGGAAAAAACAAAATAAAAAATGAGTGTAGAGACAAAAAAGGAATTAAGGAAGTTCATGGCGGCACGATTTATAGAAACAAGTTGTGTTTGTGTAGCTACAAAAGAATAAGATACACAGTTTGCAAGGCATAGTCAACATATGAATCACACACATAGAGGAAATGTAAACCAGTATCAATAAAGACAAAAAAGCAGAGTATTTGGAGTTTTTTAAAATCCCAGCGCACATGTAGCACTATAATAACATGATAATTACAAATTTTTGCTATAAATTCAAGATTAACAAACTGAATAGTGTAAATAAATATTTTGCTACAATTTGTTTGTTTTAAAAATCCCAGCGCACATGTAGTGTCAATGTATTATTTTCCATTTAAGTAAATAAATATTAAAATATATTATAGGTTTGTCTTTCATTTTCATTTTTATTTTTGGAAAAGAAAAAAGATTCAAAAGGGTAAAAAAGCAAAAGACAGTGTCTTTGGATAGAGCAAAGCAAAAGCACATGGGCTAGGGTTTGAATTTTGAGTAAAACAACTCAATTGGCCCTATCACACATATTCCTATCAATCACATTCATCAAACAGACTTTAAACCAAAAACGGTAATCGCACCATACTGACATGACAGGAGACCTGAAATGACCCTTTTAACCTCGACAAAGGTCATTAATCACTGCTATTCGGGTTTCTATTTTGAACATACCGAATCAGAAGCGTCGGATCGACCCGAGGAACCCTGTCCGTAGATCAAGAATCGACGCGACATGATACTGACACGTGGAAGTTTTTTGCAGTGTAATATCGTGTCTCTGCTTTTGTAGGTACCGTTATAATGATAGTAATTTTAAATACTAAATACCACATTCTAAAAAGACAAATTTACCTTTTTCAATTTTAGTTTTTTTTTTCGAACGTCGGCGCCGTTAGTCGCGGCCGCAACTCGCTCGGCCGGCCGACTAAGGTGGTCGCCTATCGCCCAGGCGGCCTAAGTCCCGACCGGCCACTCATAAGGCCGGCCTTCTTTGGCGGCCGGCAGTTCCATTTTCGACTGGCGGTCAACCATTTTTTTTTTTAATTCAAATATTTTAAAAATTATATAAAGAAATTGATTAATAATTATTATTAAAAATTAAAGAAATCGATTGATAATTATTAATGTAATGCTACAACATTTATAGTTATTTCTTACCTTTCATGGACTTCCTCAACCTTTTATAGTCACTTTTGGTCTTTATTATTATGTTTGTAATCGATGTGGGATTGTGTCGAGCCTCTAGTCTTTATAGCTATTTTTTTGCATTCTTTTTGCTTTCAAAAAATCAATGTGGGACTAAATGATCCTTCCTTTAACACACTTTCATTATGTATGTCAAGGTGAATATCATATTATCATTAATTAAACTTATTATTATCTTAAATTAATAAATGATTAAATTTAACTAAATGAACATGAAATATGAAAAAACATTATGGGCTT